AAGATTTTAGTTCCTCCTGAACAAAAAAAACTAATGCTGAGTATTTCATGGATGAACAACCTAATTGTTTCTAGCTTCTTAGTGTTAGCCAACCTTGATAGTAAGTTAGCTATTGCATTTTGTTCTCGGGGAACATGATTAAATGAGAATGTTTAGAAGTTATGAGAAAGGTTTTTCACTTTTTCCAAGTATCGAGCAAGTTATGGGTCCTTTGCTTGGAAAGTTCCCCCTACCTATCCAGTGATTAACTAAGAATCACATTGAACTATCAAATCTATGACACACATTTCTAGGGCCAAAACTATTCATGTTAAAAGTGTCTCGTATTTGGCTTGATCAGGACAACATTTGGTCCCTCTAGAATAATGCATGCTCCACTACCATTAAGATCGGAGGATTCATCAATAGAAAGGATCCAAACAAATGACACCTCCTACTTGGGTGTTGGAGAAGGCAACTCTACAACAAAGTTAGATAACAATTGTGCCTTAATCAAACCATGTGGCTTATATCCGAGCACAAACTTTGATATTTCTACCAATTATTTTACCATTCACCCTGCTAAATCTAGCTTGTGCAAAATTTGCTTTATTGGTTGATCCATCTTCACTATTACATCTTGACTCTAAAAGTAATGTCTTAATTTCCTAGCTGAGATCAAGACTACAAATGCTAGCTTCTTAATCTTTGGATAATGAATTCTAGTCCCTTACAACACTTTGCTAACAAAGTAAATTAGTAGTTGTTCACCCTCATGTTCTTGTAATAAAACAATGTTAATAGCTCGATCAAAAGCTAATAAGTATAAGTATAGTGGAAAACCTATTCTAGGCTTTGATGGGATCGGTGGGATCGCCAAGAACCCCTTCAATTGAACAAAGCCTCCTCAAACTAAGCTATCCTTGAAAAATGATTGTTGTTCTTGAGGCTTTGAAAGAATGGGAAAACCATATCTCTTGATTTTGATAAAAAAAAATTATGACAAAGAAGTAATTCTTCCTGTAAGCTACTAGACCTCCTTTATCATTGATGGACTTATCATATTTATCATGGTGAAACATTTATCATTGATGGACTTATCATATTTATGATGGCAAAACATTTGTCTAGATTAGCCTCTGTTCCTCAATTTGTAAGCAAAATCCTAAGGAACTTCCTAGCCAGTATGCCAAATGAGCATTTGTTTGAGTTCAACTTCAGCTGATATCTATTGATAATGGTAAACAACTCTTGTAAGTCATTCAAGTGTTAAGCTAATTTTTTGACTTGACGATCATGTCATCCACATATGCCTCCACATTATGGCCAAGGCGATCTAGCAAAATTTTGTCCATTAATCTTTAGTATGTTGCACCCATATTCTTCAAATTGAATAATGTCTCTCGATAACAAAAGTTTGACTAATATGCAATTAACGCATGTTTTTCCTCGTCTAGTGAATGCATCTAAATATGGTTGTACCTAGAATAAGCATTCATGAAACTAAGCAATTCATATTTGAAACCATCTTCCACCAAGTAATCAATGTTCAGTAGGATACGAATTTTTGGGGAGTGTTTTATTAAGATCTGTATAGTCCATGCACATCATCCACTTCCTATTTCTCTTTTTAACCATTACAACATTCACTAGCCATGTTAGATATTGGATTTCTCAAATATGACCTATTGTTAGCAAATTTTTCGTTTTTTCAGCTACTACTTGCCTTTTTTCCTCCCCAATCTTCTTTCTTTTATGCATCACAGGTTTTGCCTTCAAATCTAGTGCAAGCTTATGAAAAAAAAATCTATATCTATGCTTAGTATATTGACAACACACTAAGCAAATGCTAACATGTTTTAGAACAAAGCATCCACCAACTCTTTTTCTACATCTAAACTTATTGTGGTATTGATCTTCACCATTTTACTTTGGCTAACCAAACCTCTTTTAGCTCTTCTATAGGAATTGGTTGTTGGTCATAAAAGTCTACTCTAGGATTCAAATCTAGGGGATGAACCTTGTTTTCCCTTTCTCCCTTATTTGGTGAATAAAGGTTTCACCTTACCTTGATACTATTCTCATAACATTTGCGAGCTATTTGTTGGTCTACACCAATTACTCCAATCTTTCCATTATCTGTAGGGTATTTAAGCTTCAAGTAGGAAGTCGAAACAATAGCTCCTAACTTATAGTGTAGGCCGACCAAGCAAAATATTATATGAAAATGGAACATTAACAACCAAGTTTCTTATCATGATTGTCTTTGCCTCTACTCCATAACCAAAAGTCATTTCCAAATCGAAAAAATGTCTTACAATAATTTGTTTTCCCATGAACCCTACCAACGCTTTTGAATATGGAATTAGCTTATCCATTAGTATTTGCATGCCCGTAAAAGTTTCCAAATATAACACATTAGTCAAGATCCCTTTATCCACTATGGTTCGCTTCACATTGAAACCCATGAGAATGGCTGATATTAGCATGGGATCATGCTCGTGTGGTATAACATTTCAATAATCATCATCTGTGAATATAATATTTGGAGCTTGATATCACTTAACTTCTAACACGTCACTGATCGAGCATACTTCTTCCTTGTTGTTGACATTCCTCCTCCTGCAAAACCTCCAACAACTATGTTAAAATCACCATGTATTGCTTGAGGAAGTCTTGCACTTCTTGTTGTCATTGATTACAGTGGAAGCGAGTTATGTTTGTCTCGATCCTCCCTCCTTGACGAGTTCCTTCTGAGGCTACTTGTGTCGCAATGATCTTTTCTAAGTTTTGACAAATGCCCCTCTTTTATCAAGTGTTTAATTTGACTTATCAACAAGTATCATTTCTTAGTGTCATACCCATATTCCCTATGAAATTCACACCATTCATTTTTATGGGGACCTATATGATGCTTGGATGCTTGAGGAAATGTGAACAAATAAACATTATTCACATCCTTCAAGATCCATCGTCAAGATGTGTTCAAGGGTGTCAGGGCTTTCAAACCTTCAAAGTTTCTCCTTTCTTCATATTTTATTGCACCCTTATGTCCCTCCCTTTGTGAAGAATGGTTAACGCTTCTTTTTGTCCATTATTCCTCGATTTTATGTATTTAGCATCCATAGAATATCATTCTTCACTGTTTTATCTTTTTTCAATCTCCTTTTATCTTGTTTCACTCTCCTTTGCCTCGATACGCCAAGTGGTTCTTACCTTAACTTCCATCATATTTCCTATTGCCTTATGAACAAGTGACTCACTAAATGGTCCCGCTCTCAAACCCTTTCCAAAAATGACTACAAACATCCTCTCGTTGATATTAAGTACCTTGACTGTTACTTGATTAAATTTGACTAGATAGTCCTTTAATGCTTCTCTAGACATTTGTCAAACATCCAACAAGTCTGCTATGGTTGGAGATTTTCCTTTATTTGCGACAAATTGAGTTGAGAAAATACTTGAAAAAACCTCAAAATTGGTGATTGATCTCTAGGGTAGACGATTGAACCAATTGAAGGCCATTGCTGTGAGAGTGCCCATAAACATTTTACAACGCATTATATGTCCTTTCACTTATTAACATATAGGCCCCAAAAATCATTAAATGTTGATCAGGATTTTGCGACCCATAAAAAGGGGTATTCTCAGTACCATAAAATGCCTAGGAATCTCTTCATTCTCAATGTCATCCAAAAAAGGTTGAAAATGTCATGGAAACAACATGCCCCCCTCATAAGGCCCCCTCATAGGGTTCATGTTGTAAAGTAGCGATTTGTGCTTGTAAAGCATCTCATGTCTCTTAAACCTTTTTTCTGAATTCTTCATTCTCCCTCTGCATAGTCTTCTCCTTCTCCAAATGGTGTTGCTCCTCCATTACCTCAATTTTCCTCCTGAATTCTTGCTCTCCTTTTATAGAGCCTCCATGGTAGTCAGGATCTCCTACATTGTGAGCTCATTGTGATTGGGACCACCACCTTTGGCTGGGGGTGTGCAAAACTTTCAAACCAATATGAACCCATCCATATTAAAAAATCTAATTCGTTTTGAGAAAAAATCCAAACCGGACCACTTTGTAAAACCAGTTCAGTTATCCGATCTTTTTTTTACAAAGTAAATCAATTTAGTTTAATTTGATTTTTTTGAGAAATTGTTTTATAAATAGGTATAATATAAAATGGATAACCACATTACATCGAACCGATCCAATTTTTTAAAAAAATCAATCCATATTTTTTAAAAACTAAATTGATTCACCTTATAAAAAAATGAATCAGTTAATCAATTCACTTTTATAAAAGTGGATCGATTCGATTAGGTTTGAATTTTTCAAAAATTTGATCCATGAGCACCCTTACCTTTAGCGTCTTTGATGTTAACACCATAAGCTCCAACATTAATGGCAGCCTAATCGACGTTACTCCTTAATAGTCTCATCATTGCATACCACTGTTCACACAAGATCACCAAGGTATGGAAACTAGTTTTACCTACGCCATGTTGGATGCCAAAATGTTTCGATATGGAGGATGACCACTAGAAAATCTAGTGACTATCTGCCCCCCAGTATTGAGTAAGCATGTATATATATTAGAGCTAGCTCTCCAGCACAATCCCTTATTTCTTGTCTCGATCCTCCAAATAGTGTTATATCATTAATGCCTTTAATGGATCATAAATTTTAGTCATTATAATTGTTATTGTATTTGTTGTGTGAATCTCAGAATTTATATCTCATAAGTGAGATACCTCGATTTTTGCTCGAGACATCAAGTTAAAGCGAAAATCCCTCTACTACAATCTAAGAAGATCTTCATTTCTAATCCAAGATAGCATTCACTCGATATAATATCGACAAAGTACGCTTGCCTTCTAACTCTAAACGTTGGAATGTGAACAAATTTAATTGCTAATTTGAGATAACATTTATTTAGTACGCTAGCTTTCTAACTCCACGCGTTGAAACGCAAAAGGGCTTATTTCCTAAACCAAGATAGCATGTGCTTGGTACAATGCCGAGATGGTACAATTTTAAAGACTAATATTGATGTTTTATTTTACAAAATAATCTTTACCATTTTCGGAGCACACAGATTATTTTCTCTTTAAACATTGATCTGCCAGTTTGATGACAAACTGATGGAGAAGGTATCTCCACTCAAATTATAGTTTCTCGTTGAAAATTAAAACAAAATTACGTAAAGACAATTTTATTCCCTTTTAGAATATACAATACGAAAAGACTCATCTCTTCATACTTTAGAGTTTAGACGTTGCGAGCTTGATGAGATCCTTGCGAAGAATTTTGCCAGATGGATTTTTGGGTATGGAGGATATAAACGCCACTTTTCGAATCCGCTTGTACGGAGCCACCTGTAAGTAACCCCAAAATGTTGATGCATGTTATATTATATTTCTTAAGTCGATTATTTCAATAACTTAAGTCGTCAAAGTTGAATTCCAGCAATCAGATATTCAATAATAATAATAATAATACGAATAAAAAGTTGGCATTGTTGAATAGTGATCCCGAGTGATCGACTAACCTGTTCTGCAACAAAATCCATAACTTGGCTTTCTGATAAGCTACTTCCAGCCTTCCTCACTACATATGCCATTGGAACCTGCCCCGCCTCTTTATCTGGATAACTGGTAATTACAAAACATATATTCACCAGTCAGAACGTGACTGCTCTTATATTATTATTAACACCTAATTAGTACTATATTAATGTATCTATTGCTTTTAGAAATACGAGTGTTAGATGAAATTCTAAGACTTACGGGATCACAGCAGCATCTAAAATAGCAGGATGAGTAAGCAACAAGGCCTCTAGTTCTGCTGGAGGCACCTAAAACATCAGAAACCAAAATCAACACCATTACTAAGATTCCAATTGTATGCCTGTGATCAATAAATCAGGCCTCTGCAGTTGTTAAATAGTAAATAATTTTATGAGTAAACGAATTAACAATCTAGTTACCTGATATCCCTTGTATTTGATGAGCTCTTTTAACCGATCCACGATAAATATGAATCCATCATTGTCAATGTAACAAACATCCCCTGTTCTTAACCATCCTTTTGAATCAAGGGTTGATGTGGTTGCTTCTTCGTTACTGAAATAACCTGTTATCCACCCGTTTTCAATACATAATATAATACATCAAATCACATTTTCATTAACATATTTGCCTAAACCTAAACCTATTTTCGACAATAAGATGAAAATAAAAAAGAAAGCATGTTTTTGAAATTTTAAAAAAGAAATAGTTTAATTGAAGAGATAATGGAGAGAAACTTAAGAAAGGAACACCCAGAACATGCGTGACGGACTGAACTGAAGCGGCTATGGTTTTTAGATGATCTTTGGAGTAACTAAATAATTTCAATCCCTAATTACAAAAATGTAATTAGCTTACCAAATGACAAAATGCCTATGCTAAAACTTTTCATAATAAGATTAAATACTCTACCAGTGAAGACTTGATTGACACGCATATAAGGTTTATATATTCATCAACCTGAAGCACTAACACTACACTGATAATATAGTAGTAGTCGTAAAAAAATGATTAGATATAGGACGTCAAGAAAGGATCTCTGCATAATTCGAAGGGTACCGGTACATCTTCACCTGTTCATCCTAAATTTAGTATTTTTAATGATTTTTCTATATGATAATTTCTCACAATTTTAATGCCTTCTATAAAATCTTTTGCGCGATTCGTATTAAATTATTTTCAATATTCTTCTAATTTGTTTAATCTATTGATTTGTCTTCTGTGCATTTTGGTTTCCTTTTAATATTATCCGTTATACAATTAGATAACTTAATTTGAGAAATTTTATTTATTTATTTTTTGTTTTGTTGGTCCTAATTGCTGAATTTCATTGGTATATCTTAGTTTTTTCTATTTCATTTTTAGGTGATTCACTTAATCGGCTTGTAAGGTGAGAGTTGTTTTCTACTTATATACTATTTAATTGCCTAATCTCTAGTCGATGTGGTCTAGTCCATGTGAGACTTAGGTTTTTCCCAATATACCCCCCGAAACTTGAATACACACTCTCATACCCATAGTGTATATATCAATGATGGGTAACCCATTTTTAAAAATATAGGATAGTTTTGATATCATTTTAGAATAATGAATTTAAGGCTAACTCAACACTACAAAACCAACTTGTATGGTGAGAATTGTTTTCCACTTATATACTATTTAATTACCTAATCTATAGTAGACGTGAGACTCGGGTTTTTCTAAATAATTATCTTTCTTCTTTCTATGGATAATCATTAATATTCATTATGACCTGGAAATAAGACCTAGTTTTGTAAATAGGGCCTTTTAAGTCTTCCTATAAATAAGACTTCTTATGTAGAGTCTTCAAAAGAGAAAAATCTTCGGTTGAAAATATACTAGTCTCTCTCAAGAGACTTGGTCTAATACTTAGAGCACCTCCAATGGGAGGTGTTTAGTGGGTTGCTTATTGTTAAGAAACGGTTCTTGTAAGAAACTCCCGTTGGAGTGATCTTAAGTGGCACCCGAGTTGCTTAAAAAATTTTCTTTGTTGCTTCTACAAGCAACGGAGCTTAGCACTGAGAAGAGGCATTTGATTGGTTGAATCGGATCTACGTGGAACCCTCCAAACAACCAGTCCCGACAGCCCCCGCGCCAGAACCCCCTCCCCGCGCGAACCCCTTCCCCGCGCAGCTCTCGACCGGACCCCTTCCCCCTGCCCGCAGCTCCGACCAGACCCCCTCCCCCTGCGCGCGCGGCTGCCGACCGGAACCCCCTACCCCTGCGCGCGCGGCTGCCGACGTGAACCCCCTCCCCCGCGTGCGCGGCTCAGCAAATAGAGAGAAAGAGAGATGGAATTTGAGAGTTTGAGAGAAAGAGAGACCGAAGAGAATTTTTAATATTATTTTATTATTGTAATTTTTTAATTATAATTTTTATTATTGTAATTTTTTATATTTTTTTATTATTGTAATTTTTTAATTATGTAATTTGTTTTGTTAATTATTTATATTTATATATTATTTATAATAATTAATTGTATAAAAATTTATCATAAAATATAGTATGAGGTGTCAAAAAGTGTAGTATGAGTTGTAAAAAAGTAGGGGTGCTTATAAGCAATTTCCATTGGAGCAAAAGTTGTAAAAATATAGTATGAGTTGCTTATGAGTGACGTGGCATAGTGAGACCCATTTAAAGTGGTTGAGAGTTGCTTATAAGCAACTCCCATTGTAGATGTTCTTAGTGTGTCCAAATCTTTGTAATAATTATTTATAAATAAATATCTTTTAATTATTTAACTTATAGTGCGAAAACAATAATGAACTTTATTATTAAACAAAATTCAGGTATAATGATTATTAATCTAAAATATATATATATAATATTTATAATAGAGATGGAAATAGAGAAAATATTATGAGGACTTAGAACACCTAGAAATAATTGAGGAAGATGAAAATTATGAAGGAAATATTATGATAGATTCAAATTTATTTTAAAAAATATAATTAAAAAAATATAGATCTAAAAAAGGTTCCAATATTGAAAGAAATAAAAAGAATAAATTAAAAATTATTATAAATTCATTTCATAAAAAAAAAGAATATTATTTACGATGGAAAAGTAATATGTGAACAACCTTCACATATATCTAATACATGTGAATACATGTGAAAACACTTGTTTAAGGTTATTATCCGATAAAAAAATTTAAAATTAAACAAGAAATAAAAAATTAATAAAAATATAAAATTTAGAATGACTAATAACATGTCAGACCGGTTAAGATGTACTGGTTACTTCAAATTACAAAGGTACGGCAGTAGTCAAAAAATAAATAATAAATAAAAGAAAGGCGAAATGCTAAACATGCGAACAGTTAAGTCCATTTTAAATCAATTAGGGAAGCATAAGCCACCTAATCCGGAAGATAATGATTGGCGTTATTTAATGCACATTTTGACCGTCAAACATGTATATATCTTTGTTTAGAGGAAATATATTTTTGATTCCTTATATTATTTATTAGTGTATTAATTTAGATTTATTTTAATTAATTTAATCAATTTAATTTTACATTTTTTAAATATATTTTAATATTTAATTTTTATTTTTTTTATTTAAATATTTAATAAATATGATACGTAGCATAACATGTAACAAAATATCATAATACTCAAGTAACATGATAATATAATACGTGACTTAATAACATGACACGTGATATGATAGTATGATACATGTCATATTATTATGTTAAGTGTCATGACATGTGTTAGATTTATTAAATATTTAAACGAAAAAATAGAAACTCAAACATTAATATATATTTTAAAAATATAAAACTAAATTAATTTAATTAATTAAAGTAAAATTAAATTTACACTGATAAATAATATAAAAGATTAAAAATATAATTTTACCTTTTGTTTATGTAAAGTACGGAGAAGCATCCAGGTAATTAGCGTAAAATTCTTGCATATAAAAATAATATTTGGCAGAAAAAATAAAGACGGTGACGTAAGCATTCCACATTTCCACTAACCTTTCATAATGGTGGGACCCCTGAGCCAGAGCTCACCGGTTTGGTTGACCGGAAGCGATTGGCCGGAGTGAGGATCAACGATCATGGCCTCGGTGGCCGGAGAGAGGAGCCCCGCCGTGCCGTACCTGCGACTCTCCTCCAAGGAATCGGTGGAGGCCCCAACGCCGGTGGACTCCGTCAAGCCGTAACCCTGAAGAATGGTGACATTGGGATACTTGTGCACAAACCCCTCTATGACCTCCTTGCTCAACGGAGCCCCACCGGAGAGCACCGAATGCAGAGTCCTCAAGTCGTACTTCCCCTTGATGGCGTCGGCGTTGTTCAGCATGGCCACCAGAATGGGCGGCACGAGCGGCAAATACGTGGCGCCGAACCTCTGAATCGCCGACAGCATGTCGTCCATCTCGAATTTGGACATGACAACAATGGTGGAGCCGGAAGCGAGGAGTCCCGTGGCGAAGGCGGCAAGGCCGTATATGTGAAACATGGGGACTGTGCAGATGAAGGTTTCGTTCTCTTCCATCCTGAACCTGCCGAGGACGATTTGCACCATGGCGATGAGGTTGCGGTGGGAGGAAACAACGCCCTTGCTGGGCCCCGTCGTGCCGGAGGAGTAGAGCAGCGTGGCGGTGTCGTCCTGCTCCACGCGCTCCCTCACGCGCTTGGCCGAGGGCTCTGTCTTCATCATGTTTTCAAGGGTGGTCACGATGTTGGCGTGGGGAGTGGAGGTGGAGGTGGGGCCCATGAGGACGATTGGGAGGGAGGGGGAGGCGGCCGTGATTTTCGGGAGGAGGGGAGGCGTTGTGAAGGCGATGTGGGGCTTGGAGTCCGCGATCTGCTTGGCGATTTCCCGCGCGGTGTTGAGGGGGTTGGTGGTGGTGATGACGGCGCCGAGGGACATGGCGGCGAGGCAGACCACGGGGAAGTGGATGGAGTTGGGGGAGAGGATGAGGACAACGTCGCCCTTGCGGATGCCCATGGAGGAGAGAGAGGTGGCGAGGCCCTCCACCGCGCGCCAGAGTTGGGCGTAGGTGAGGGTTTGGCCGGTGGCGGCGTCGATGAAGGCGGTGGTGCCACGGTGGGCCCGGGAGGAGATGAAGGTGGTGACGTCGAGGGAAGGGTTAGGAGGGAGAGGAAGGGGCTTCCGCTTGCTGTAGAAGATTGAATTGGATCTGCAGAATCCACTTCGTATCTCAATCTCTTCCTCCATGCGTTGCTTCGATTTACTTCTTACTTTCCCAACTCTCACACACTTTCACTTTCGGTACTTATGTCATGCATATATAGTGCGTGGATCTTTCTTACTTTATTTACATCACGTGGACGTGTTTAGTTGCTCCATTAACAATTTAATAATATTTAACCAAATGTAAGAATCTAGCTGCTTGAACGATTATTAGCGGACACAGACAACAATGAAGAGAAGTGGCATTATATTGACTATTCTGAAGCACCGGCCAAATCACTGCACAACATGTGCTCTATTGTGGCCGGTGAGTGAGGACCTTCACGGCCTTGTGCTTCAGGATAATACATTTCAGATTTTTTTTTTTTTTTTGAAAAATGTGGACATGACATACATTTTAGAAATATGAATAAAGGTGAAAGCAACACAAAGTATCATTTGTTACTATTTTTATTATCACAAAAAGTGTTTATCATTTGTGTTATTCCAAGCAATTTGAGTAAATAGTAAATTACTCTTATATACTCTTATTAATTTATTGAATTTCTTTGGAAATAAATTATTTTTTAAAATAATAATTTATGAATATATATATATATATATATATATATATATATATATATATAATATATATATATATATATATATATATATATATATATACTATCTGTACCGCCATGCCGAGCTCGAGCTCGGTATCACAGCGCAGGACGACCTCGGACATGCGCTGGGCCATCTCGGTCTAGGCGAGATCCGCTATCTGATCAGATCGTAACTAATCTCGGGCCCAAGGCCCAACACAACCTTAATTCACACCAAGGTACGTGCATTATTTATACGAGATTCACAATCATACAAACCCTAACTTTAGCATCAGAGTCTCTTTTGCAGGTACCACCCACATCTTGGAACATCAAGCGTACCAGCGAAGGAGGCTCACCGACCTTACCCAGTGGATCAACTCTACCTCAGATCCACGGTAAGAACATTTGGCGCCCACCGTGGGGCCGATCAAGACAGCTCTTATCGGCTACGCTTATGGTCTTCACCCGAAGCCATAGTAGACGCGCAACAGACGACGCAAATCACACAACAAGCATGGACAACGAAGCGGCACTGAGAAGGCTGATCGAACAGATGCGGCAACAACACGACGCCGATCTACAAAACATGAGTGCCAGCACGAAACTGACCTAGCCGCAATGCGGACCGCCAATGAAGCTGATCTAGCGGCCCTACCCGCTGAAAACGAGCGGATTCGCGCCTAGCTCCCTCGCCGCCCCTCTGATCATCCTCCTGAGGCGAGCAACCTCCACGAGGAAGAAGGGCATTTGGTCTCTCAGCCCCGAACTGCGACTAGGGCACCGACTCCGCGACCTGCCACGCATCGGTCTCATGCACCGACGAACAAGTCGGCCCATGAAGTCAGCAAGGCCCCTACTCATGTCACGGGGGGTCAAACAACCTTCTGCCGTCATCCTTTTGTGGATGGCATCATGGAGACACCACTCCCTCAGGGATGGAAGCCTCTCCACCTCGATCGCTATGATGGCACGACGGACCCCGATGAGCACATCGACCTGTACACGACACAGGTAAACCTCTACACTAACAATGATGTTATTTTGTGTAGGGTTTTTCTGACCTCTCTCAAAGGGGCCACGCTCAACTGGTACACTCAGCTTCCCGTCGAGTCAATCGACAGTTTTAGCACTCTAGTCAGGCGATTCACGGCGCAATATGCAACGAGCCGGCCTCATCACATCACGTCAGCCGCTATGGCCAGTCTCAGACAGAACGACGATGAGCCACTTCGGACGTTCATGGAACGATTTGCCGCCACCTCGGTTAAGATCAAAAATCTGAATCCTGAGGTCACCCTACACGCCATGCTCATGGCACTCAAGCCTGGACCATTCGTCGACAGCCTGTGCCGAGAGGCTCCTCGCGACATGGACGAACTCCGGCCCGCGTCGCGGGCTATATCCAGATGGAAGAGCACTCCGCTTTTCGTGACCAGGTTCGCGGCAAGGGACCAATGAAGCTAGAACAGGGTCACAAGGACAAGATCAAGGTCAACAATGACAACCAGTTCAAGAAGTCGACTAGGGCAACCAGAGGGGGGAGATATGACTTCTATACTCCCCTGAACACGCCCCGAGTACATATCCTGGAGGAGGCCTGCAACAGCAACCTGCTCACCCTGCCACCGCTAGGTCACACCCCCAACAGTGCCGATATGTCCAAACACTATCGGTACCACAGGAATCAAGGTCACACCACTGAGGAGTGTCGCACACTCCGAGACCGCATTGAAGAACTCATCCAGGTAGGCCACCTCGGCCAATATGTCCAGCGACAGCAGGGGCACCGAGGAGGCTATGGTGGACGAGGGCGAGGCAGAGGTCGCGGTTCAGGAGCTTGCACGAACCAACCCTCTAGCTCTCAACAGAACGCCGGCGGAGTAGTGCAAGCCGAGGTAAGCCAGGAAACAGGGTCAGCTCCCCTACGGGGAGTAATCAATACGATTGTAGGTAGTTTCGCAGTGGGAGGCGCCAGCAGCTCGGCTCGGAAGAGACACCTGCGCAATATCAACAACGTCCATTTCGCTACCTCGGCTTCGCACCAAAGATCACCGCCGATCACCTTCACCAATGACGACTATGCTGGCGTCAGTCCCAACCAGGATGATCCCATGGTCATAGCCGTGGAGGTGGCTAATTGGGAGGTTCACAAGACACTGATAGACCAAGGGAGCTCGGCAGATGTCCTGTATTGGTCGACCTTCCTAAGGTTAGACATCCCTCACTCTCTCATCCAACCTCACACAGAGCCCCTAGTCGGTTTTGCAGGAGAGCAAGTACACACTCGGGGATACGTGGACCTGCTGACCACCTTCGGGACCTCTCCGGATACAAGGAGAATTATGGTCTGATACCTCCTTGTGGAAGCCAACACCTCCTATAATATCCCATTGGGAGGCCGACGTTAAACCAGCTCGGAGCAGTGGTGTCCACTCTGCACCTCACTATGAAGTTCCCAGGAAGCGACGGTAAAATCATCTCCGTCAAAGCAAATCAAAAGATAGCCCGACAATGCTACGCCGAAAGCCTAAAGGTCTCCTCGCCCGACGAGTGCCACCGCAGTGATCCTCCCACCGTGGTTCACATCAACCATGTGGACATCGGTGATCTCGATCCGAGGTCCGACTCCCATGATGAGCGACCAAGTCCCATCGACGAGCTCGATGACCTCCAGATCAGAAAGCTCCCGGGGCAATGCACGAAGATCAACAGGCAGTTGAACCCGGAGTTACGATAGTAGCTCGAGGCTGAAGTCCTCAAGAATGCCGACCTCTTTGCCTGGTCCAGTGCCGACATGCCAAGTATCGATGCTAACCTCATCTATCATAGGAGGTGAAGCCAGTAGCTCAAAGGAAGCGGAAGGTCAGGGGCGAAAGGCAAGAGGCCATCATCACCGAGACACAGAAGTTACTGAACACTGGCTTCATTCGTGAGGTTAGATACACCACATGGCTGGCGAATGTGGTTCTGGTGAAGAAAAGCTCGGGGAAATGGCGCATGTGCGTTGACTACACCGACTTGAATAGAGCATGCCCCAAGGACTCATACCCCTTGCCGAACATTGATAGGCTGGTCGACGGCGCGTCCGGGCACGCCCTCCTCAATTTCCTCGACGCCTACTCCGGGTACAACCAGATAATGATGTACCCACCTGACGAAGTGCATATTTCCTTCATCACCTACCACGCCAATTACTGCTACCGGGTGATGCCCTTCGGTCTCAAAAATGCAGGGGCCACTTACCAGCGATTGATGGACAAGGTCTTCCACCAGCAGATCGGGCGGAACATGGAAGTCTACGTCGATGACATGGTGGTCAAGACCACCTCGGCCACCGACCATGCTACCGACCTCGTCGAGGTGTTCGCCTAGATCAGGAGACACAACATGCGTCTCAACCCAGAGAAGTGCGTCTTCGGCGTCCAGGGAGGCAAGTTCCTCGGCTTCATGATCACTATCAGAGGAATCGAGGCCAACCCTGAGAAGTGCAAAGCCATCATTCAAATGCAGAGTCCGCAAATGGTGAAAGAAGTCCAACGCCTAGCCGGACGGTTAGTCTCACTGTCCCGTTTCATCCCCAGACTCGCGGAGAAGGCAGGGCCAATCTTCACTCTACTACGTAAGCCAAAAGACTTCCAGTGGACGGATCAGTGCGAAAAATCTTTCCGATGTTTCAAAACTTTTCTCACAACCCCGCCTATCCTACAGAGGCCGGACCACAAAACTGACCTCCTCCTCTACTTGGCCGTAGTAGAAAACGCCATCAGCGTAGTGATAGTGCAAGAACATCAAAAGGTGCAGACACTGATCTACTTCATCAGCCGAGTCCTCCAAGATGCGGAGAAACGGTACCAAACGATCGAAAAGTTGGCACTGGCTCTCGTCACCACAGCACGGCGTCTCCGACCTTATTTCCAGAGCCACCAGGTGATACTCAAAACCGACTACCCCATAAAGCAAATCCTGAGAAAGCCGGAGCTTGTCAGACGAATGATTGCATGATCGATCGAGTTGTCCGAGTTCGGCATCCAATACGAGAGTCGCGGCGCCCTAAAAGCTCAATGCCTAGCCGACTTCGTAGCCGAGCTCACGCCCACTACTGCTGAGGAACCCCAGTTATGGACTCTACACGTTGACGGGTCCTCCAACTCTAAGGGTGGCGGCGCATGTATCATATTGGAAGGACCAAATCAAGTCACTTTGGAGCAGTCCCTCAAGTTCAACTTCAAGGTGACCAACAACCAGGCGGAGTACGAGGCACTTCTCGTAGGACTGAGGCTAGCTCGCGACCTCGGGGCCCGAAAAGTGAGCTGTAACAGCGACTCGAAGCTCATGGTGGAGCAGCTCAGTGGGACGTACCAAGCAAAGGATACTCTTCTAGAACAGTACTTCCATATCGCATCCCAACAGATCTCGTCCTTCGACGAGTTCACCATACAACATGTGTCGCGAGAACAAAATGCCCGAGCTGGCCTCTTATCAAAGCTCGCCAGCACCAAAAGACCTGGACAACACCGGACTATCATCCAGGAGACCTTGCACACACCCAGCCTGGATGACAAGGTCGTCAATACTAGCGACAGCGAAGACCAGGGGTGGATGACAGGAATCTGGAGT